TTTGCGGCGCATTACGAGGTTTGAACGTGTGCTGAATTAAAATGATTTCCTCACACTAACAGCAATGAATCTGAGACCAGATGTCTGTAGACTCGCACTGAGAAAATACTTTTATATTTAAAAAATATTTGATATATATATATTTTATTAGTCATATATACATCAAATACAACATGCAATATAAAATAATATATTTTAATATATAATAAACATATTACAATATACCATGTTATATTGCAAGTCGTATTTGATGTGTAAACTTTTTTTTGAGATATTCAAAATATGATAATTAAGTATATAAATGCTTGCATATATATAATTATTAAATTATATTAAACATATGATGTGATAAGTATAAATATTACTCACATATTAGATATTATTTTTTATATATTATTTACGCACAAAATGTTTATAAATATATTTATTCTTCTTTACATTTTTATATTGTTTTGTATATTGTGTATTGTTTATTCCAAATTGAAATAAGATATATATATATATATGTGTGTGTGTGTATGTGTGTATATGTGTATATATATATATATATACACAGAGACGTTATTTCCGAGTCCAATACATTACTGCTTTTCGTGCAAGTCAGCAAGTCATTGACAGATTTTTTTTTCCCCAGTCTTTGAAGCATATTTCCTACATTATTTCTTTTATTCATTTTTTTTGTTCAGTCATTTAATTTAGATGTGTATTTCTATTTTTTCTGCCCTTTTTAATTATTTCATTTATAAATTCATTTAAAAAAACAACAACAACAACAAAAACGAGTAATAAAGTGTACAATAAAGTACAATCATATACTTATATCATAATCACATTGCACTTGAATAAAGTTAAAGGTGTAATCTGCCGATTGTCCTGCAGGTGACCGCATAAATCTGTCTTCTTACGATGCACTTAAAGCTTTACGATTACTCCAGAGCACTCATAGATCTACGATGATTTTCAAGTGCTATTTAAGTTATGATGCTTTTGGGAAACAGACCATAATATTACGATCAGTCGTACGATCATTTTTACGAACTTCTTAGGCTTACGAAGCTTTTGGGAAACGCAGCCCAGAACAGTTCGGCCTGATGGCGTTTGGTTGTTTACAGTCACAAATTCACTCATGTTTTAATCTACAGTTGATCTGATGTGCATCACAGGTGTGTGTTTATCAGCTTCATGTGTGTCTCATCCAATCAGAATCAGAGCCTGGACTCTCTGTTTTCTAATATTAGTTTAGCTGTTTTGAGTCTTTCATTTTGAAATGAGTCCTATGCCCAATATGACCTGTGTTGCAGCCTGGAATTAAACCACATCATGCTGGTTTGGTCTGGTCAGAGGAGAACTGGCCCCCAAAGGAGCCTGGTTTCTCCCAAGGTTTTTTCTCCATTTCTGTCACCGATGGAGTTTCGGTTTCTTGCCACTGTCACCTTTGGCTTGCTTAGTTGGGGACGCTTAATTTCTGGCAATATTGTTGACTTGATTGCACAGATACTATTTGAACTGAACTGAGCTGTATGATGACATCACTGAATCCTCAATGAACTGACTTTAGCTGAAAAACTGACTGTTTTCTGTCCTGTTGCATTATCAGCACGTTTTTCCTGTTTGAAATCTTTTGATGTTTTGCTGTGAGTCCATCAAGATTAAAATAAAAAAAAGAAAATAATCAAACGAGGCTACTCATGTTTTCAGTTGTAAAGTATTTAATTAACTAAATTAAAAGCAAAAAAAAAGATATAGAAATCATTTTTATTGAATTGCCAATAAAATAACCTTTATTATTTACAATATACAATGTAATTGTGTATAAGGCAAGGTTAAAAAAGAAATGATTGATTGAGTCAGTGTGGAAGAACTTGACTGGTCTGCTGTGATTTTAAATGAAGACCTTGAGCTAAAAACTCATCACCAAACACCAATGACTTGTACATACAATATATGGACAAAAGTATTGGGAAACCCCCTTCTTTAGAACAGAAGAAGGCACTTCCAAAACTGTGGCAACAACGATGGAAACATAATTCATGTATTTAAAAATGTATTTCCATCTCTGCTGCAACAGTTTTGGAAGCGTCTAAAATGACTAATGCTTAAACATTAAGATTTGTACTCATGGAAATTACTAAAGTAGTCAAACCTGTTTATTAGAAGGGGGTGTCCCAATACTTTTGGCAATATAGTGTGTGTATATATATATATATTTGTAAAATGGCACAGCTTTTTTTTTATATCTGAAAGTACACTCTTAACATGAGTCAGTCAAGCATTATAATATGATAATCAAGTATTATTTAATGATAGAACTTTAGTAATTAGAATTAAAACTGGCTAACCATGTTTGAGTGCATATTAGTCATTTTAACTGAACTTAGGACTGGTGTTGTTTTTTTTGTTTTTTGGTCATTCAGTGTTTCTGTAAAAAAAAATGGGGGGAAAAACTAAACAATAATACTGACAAGATAATAATAATACTACTATGAATTCTATTAATGAGAACATTATAAAACGCACTAAGGATTAATGAGCTGCTGGATTCATAAATATTAATCAGGTTATGTGCATTTGCTCGAACTGATTTGCTGAAATCAAAACAGGGACGATAATAGGTGAGCGCCAGCCAATGAGATCGTCGTTTGCGCATTAGTTCCGCCTACTACCGGAGAACCCGGCATTTCTTAAAAGCTGAAGAATTCCAAAGGAACTCCGTTATTTTGACAGGAAAATGCAACAAAGAATATCGTTTACATGTAGCACGTCAATTCTGCATGGTATGTAAGACTCACTCTCGCTCGCTCTCTCTTTCTTTCTTTCTGTGTGTGAGACAAAGCGACGAGTCGTGCGCCTTCACGCTACAGTTTATGGTATGTCTAATACAGCCTATGCAGGTGCGCTGCGCATCCATTCAGATGAACTGAAAAACAGCACAGATCACTTGACGGAGAGTGAAACTCTGAAGCGCTCAGTCATACTTATACTTAATAGCCTCCAACTCACACACTGGCGAGTAAAATCAGAACATTTATTAGCCAATGGCTAATATTAGACATCATTTAGTCGCCCAGAGGGAAGATTTAGTCGCATATGCGAGTGATTTACTCGCAGTGTAGAGGGTTATGTCCATTATGAACAGTTGAAATCGTGTGTGTGTGTGTGTGTCTCACTGTTTTGCAGGGGAATACTAAGGAAAACATCACCGGCTTACTTGTTACATTTAAAAGACATTATGGTTGTTAAACGGCCTCGTCTTCTCCATGCCTTGAGCAAAAGATGTCTGACTGCATGCATGTTGCCATCATGCAGAAAATGTCTCTTGAGCTTTGCTTATTCAATGTATTTGCAGTAACAAAAAGCCATGAGAATACTCAAAGCTCATTTCTCCAGCCAAGAGATTGATTTTCCCCGTTTGCAGCGCTCACTCACTCAGACGCCTCCACCTCAAGTCTGCTGGTGTATTTGCTGTCTGCCTTTAAATCGCTGTGACTAACAGAAGATCTGTAACTGCGGGAACCCAATGGAAAGAAGACCTCCTCAGTATCTCAGTTGTTTCTCCCAGACAATAATGAGATTAAATGGGGAGCAAATAGAGACTTTCTCTAGGAATATGTCTGTCACCATCTACCGCTGGAAAGGAGCTCTGTCCTCCTCAGGCTCAGATACCAGGCTGGGCTGGTTTTGTTTCAGTGAAGGACACAAAGGGATTGGAAACCTGCTCTATTATCTATAACACGAGCAGCATGTCAGTACCAGTGTTCTTGGCCACTGTTTGTCATTCGGTGGCAGAACCTGCATCCAAAAGCCTCCCAGCAATAAATCATTTAGAAACAGGAACCAGTCAGACAAGCTGTTGACTATATATGATTGGACACACTCGTAAAACCTCTGGTGTGTGATCTGGGTGGTGTTTATCTCTTCTCAGTGCGTACTGGTCACAGATGTGGTGTTTTGGACTCCATAATAAAAGCATTGATGCGTGTTGAATCTCTGTATGCGTTATCGGCCCCTGTTGAAGTTTAGGTGCTACAAATCACCACAGAACAAAGGCGTGTGGGTCTTTTTATAGAGCTCCAGTAATATCTGCAGCTGCTATGTAAAGTTGTCCTGAGGGTTATATGACACACGAGCTGCTCTTGTCTTTCTGTGCTTGACGGCTCACACCAGACCCTCAGTTTGACTCACGATAAGGATTGTTTTGTCTCCTCACTCTACTGGTTCACATTTTTCCTCCTCTTTAATTTCTCTATTTACACGAATGTAAACATGCCATATATATAATTTGTCTCATCTACCCACACTTCAGTCATATTAAGGGTGCTCCGATCAGGATTTTTGGAGCCAATCGTCGATCACAGGAAGCAGTATCTGCCGATACGATCACCGATTACGATCTTTTTGAAGCCTTCTTTTTATCATGTAGAATTATTTATAGTGATGCTCCAATCAGGATTTTTACAGACATTCATTCAGGGCCTGAATTTCATTTTTGAAAATGGGGGGAATTCCCCAGTTGACTCATGTGGGGGGAATTTTTTAATTTAAGGGGTGGGGGTGGGGCATTTTTTAGAGAAAAATATATAATTATCTCACCTTAAATGTTTGATCATGCAGTACATTTTTGTTTTTATTGTGGGGCAGTTGTTGCACAATAGCTTACACTCAGCACCAGCCTGATTTGGTGAGCTGTATGTAAGTAGGCCTTATGTGTGCGCTTCGAGTGTGCATGAGCTCTGAATGGTTTAAAAACTGGCAAGACTTGAAAAGAAATGCAAAATATAAACTTTGGTGACAATATGACACTGCCTCCTTTATAGAGACCACCGATCAAACTTCCCAAATCCATTATTGGCCGATAGCGATTGGTAGCCGATCAATCGGAGCACCCCTAAGTCACATAATACATTAGATTAGTATTCATTATGTTGACTGTCATAAAACTAACCCTTGTGCTGTGATGACACTGATGTGATTGTGTTTGTTGTTCTCTTGTGTTTTTGTAGGACTGCACTACAGTTACGCCCGTGACGCTGCGTGTTGACCCGCGGGGCTACTTCCTGTACTGGACCGATCAGAATAAGGTAATTAGTGTCATTTTTCAAGTGGAGGGAAATCTCTCTCTTTTTCAGACGCTCAGTGAGTTTTCTGTAGCGAACTCTGTCCTGCATTATAGACGACGACAAAACTACTGCCGATCAATAATAGTGAGTGTCTCTTACACAGTGGTTTGCTTTTAATTAATGCATGTCAGTTTCTCCTCTAAACGTAATGGCCTTTTTAGTGTTTTGCAGTGCTTTGTAAAAATATGTTAGCAGCTGATTTCTGACAGTTTAGATGGATGCAATTAGACATACTTGTAAATTGGCTAGGAAGGAGAACTGGGAGGTTGCTGTCTTCTGACAAATGTAACACAAGAAGAACGTGAGTATTTGTCTTTCAGAACAGAAGCTTGTGGATCGACTTGCGATTTTCTTCCACTGCACACATGCACAAAATATCTCTGCAATGCCATTTTTGGGAAAGCATTGAGGTTTGAGGAAGGGGTGATTTTCTTACAATTTTCAACTGTAGAATACAAGAAATGAGAAGTCTTTCTACTCACCATTGTAAGTATGCATTACAAACATGATTCTGTAAATATGCAGTATTATATAGCTATACCACTAACAGAAAATTTAAGTCAACACTAGTTGCTGAAAGTCAGATTCAGTCTGCATTTTGGGCATTTGGAGTTCACAGAAAATTGTATTGTGTATGATGAGCAGAGACTCAGACTCTGGTTTCATCTGGTCGGATGATATCAGACATCAGATATCAGATATTATTGATATTTTGAGTCGATTTTAGACATTTTCATATTTTTTAAAGTGACTTATAAACGACTTACCACCTCTTTCTCCCATTGCGATCTGTACAGTGTGTGATCCTTGGTCGTTTAATGTGTGATGCCCTCTTTTTGTCTGTAGCCTTTTACAAAGTCAGCAAGTTGTATGATGTTCAGATTTGGGGAGTCGTGTAGTGTATTTTAGCCTTTAAAAGTGAAAAAAGTGAAGTGAGTGACGTGACATGTGGCCAAGTATGGTGACCCATACTCGGAATTAGTGCTCTGCATTTAACCCATCCAAAGTGCACACACACAGCAGTGAACACACACCCAGGGAGCAGTTGGGGGTTCGGTGCCTTGCTCAAGGGCACCTTAGTCGTGGTATTGAAGGTGGAAGAGAGTGCTGTACATTCACTCCCCCCACCTACAATCCCTGCCGGTACGAGACTCGAACTCACAACCTTTAGGTTACGAGTCCAACTCTCTAACCATTAGGCCATGACTTCTCCATATACATATACATATTTATACATCAGTTAGTTCCGTCGGGGTTCTGTGAGTGCTGATTTAACAGTCCAGCAGCATCACTCTGCTTGTCTGTGTTTGCTCCAGACAGATATATCTTTTGAATAATGTGCACTGATGAATTGTGTGCAGTGAGACCAGATACATGTATTAAGAAATGAAGAAGTGTCTATTTGAATGTCGTCATGTTGTGGTTTTTAAAGATGTCCTGCACATCATGCTAATAGGTGTTTTTCTGTCTGATTCTTGGCAGTGCTGTGCTCCTCTTCCAGGGAACAATCAAATAATCATAAATCCCCAGCATATCAGAATACAAAAACTAACTGAGACAGATTTGAAAACTTAAACCACGGAGGCTATCTGCTAATGGAGAGATGCTTTGTTGTTGCAGCTCTGGCACATGAATCGGCTCTCACTGTCATGTAATCTGCCTTGACCCTCTGCCTCTTGTGGCTTTACATCTAGTTTGTCCATCGTATAATCATCTGACGTTGTCATTTGCCTGCTGTCGCTCTCGGTAGCTTCAGGAAACATTCTTAAGAACAGACTTCTCCTTAACTGATCATTTCTTTGTTTAGAAAAAGAATGCTTCTTAAGAATGTTCTTATCTTTTCACTTAAGATTGTTCTTAAGACGAAACATAAAAAGAATTTGAGTTCTTGAAAAGAATCTTCTTAAAAATCCTTGTAAATAACTTCTTAAATTTAGGATTGCTTCAAACTTATCTTAAATCCCCAAAGGTAAGATGTTATATGAATTGATTGGCTTATTTCAAATTAATTGTTGTAATTTAGCATAACAACATAATACATATTACTGTACTAGGGATGTGCACTAGTTTTCTGAAGTGACAGACCAGTGATCGATAATGTAAACAATGATTGGTCATGATTATGCAAGACACAACTTTTAGCTGTATTCAAAATTCAGTAACAACTCTACAAAAAAGAGTCAAATAGGGAACTTGCTTTTCATTTTAGCCTATAAATAAACAATTCAAAATACGTGGTGCATTAGACGACGTGAGGCCGAATGCTGGACAACCGTCAAGCTGTTTGCGATGAAAATAGTATGCATGCTTATAGACCTTAATCAAGTCAGATGCCATACTGAATTCAACACGGATGAAAACGAGATGTGAGGGACAGACTACAGTCTTCACAATGGCACACACAGTATAAAGGTCCTAGATCATGTAATTTTTTTCACAACTTACAACTTTCAAAACTGTTTCATGGAGTTTTTGTCTACTGATGTTTCGTCAGCTGAACAAACAACAGTACAATCCACTGAACGCATTGTACTTCTATCCCTCACGGCCTGTCAAAAAATAAATATGGCACTACCCTGTCTATTATGATTATTACGTTAATCTGTAGGCTGTGAAAAAGGTGGCCTTTTAAGTTTTTTCTTTAGTCTTTTCTTCTTAAGAAAAAATAAAATGTTCTTAAGAACATATTTGAGAACTTTTGCACTTAGTAGCATTCTTAAAAACATATTGGAATTTATCTTAAGAAATTTCTGAACTTACTTCTTAAGAAGATTTTCGTGAATCCAGCTCTAGGTTTTTATGTAGTTGTTTATTTGTGTAGGTTGCATAGAACATGGTGTGTGTACATCTGTGTCCTGTGGAGTGACGGCGCTCTTTAGATCCCTCAGTAACAGGTTTCTGCTCCTCTTGTCTCTCTCAGCTGCGCTGGGATCAGGATTGAATCCGGCACTGACCGCAGCTTCTGCTCCCAGAGGAGTTTTGTCACGAGTCTGACATCCATCCACTGCCAATGCACTGCTGACCCGCACTGCGTCCCTTCCCACAATGCAGTGCACTTACACTGTTAATTTTAACAAGCAAACCTTGGCCCATTTAAGCTCCACACTCGTGTGCTGGTATGTAAACAGCAGTGGCTGTTTTTGCCACTTTGCTAAAGGTCTCTGTTGTGATAGTGATGTTGATCTGAAAGCTCGCAGTTTTTTTCCACATAGCAGTACAAATGTAGGGTACATGTAGGCAGCATGAAAGAGAGCAAAAGTTCAGAAAAATGCTTGATGGGCCTCTGAATGTGTAGCGCAGAGGAAGCACAGCATGCTGTTCTTCATCACTTATCAGAAAAAACTGCTCAAAAAGACAGGAATGCAGAAAAGGAAGGAAGCGACTGCAGCCAGGATCCAAATGTTTTTCAGTCACACTGTTCATCTGTGTGTCGCGTTGAGGAAAGCCAGCACATCTCAGCTGTTGTTTAAATACAGCCATATTTTGTTTGCAGAGTGGAACAGGAATGTGAAGTGGGTGATGCGTTTTGAATGTCTCCCAACCCCCCGGCTGTAAGTGAGCTGATCATTTGACTAAAGCATTTGCATGAGGCTGCGGGGCTGTGACACGGTCCTATACTCTGTGGATTGCAGCAGGACGGACTCTCACACAGTAACTCTTAGACAAATCAGTTTACAAAGTCTGCATTTATGATGCTGCTTGAGTCCCATGAGCCTGAGCGTCTCTTATGAGGGATGCAGGTGCAGACGTAGTGGCTTTAGCCGTACAACAGCATGACACCGTACACCTCTGTGCCTTATCTGCTCCTAAAGAGTGCACGCTAGTACAGTAAGGGTGCGTTAAGATACTAGCCCTACTTGAGAGGTAGAAAAGGTACAATGATGTCATTGTAAGTTAAGTATCAACTTTATCTCAGATGTTTCTCCTAAAATTCCATTGGTGAAATGGCACAGTTAATGTGGATGGCACAGCAATAATTTAATGTTGAATGCACAGTATGAGCTCATTTGATTGTGGATTTTGGCATCTTGACAAATCTGAGCACAGTTTACATTTATTCATTTAGCAAACGCTTTTATTCAAAAAGACTTACAAATGAGGAATACAACAAGCAGTTCATCTTAAAGAACCTATAACACGAGAAGTGCTTGCAATACAAAGTTTATGTCAGCAGTATACAGTTAAATGTTTACAGAAGAGATGATTTTTAAGCTGTTTCTCGAATATTGTCAGAGATTCAGCTGTCTGGATAGGGTTTGGAAAATCATTCCACCAGTGAGGAACAGTGAAGGAGAAAGTTCTGGAAAGTGATTTTGTGCCTCTCTGGAAGGGCCTAATCTATCTGATGTTGTGCAACGCAAACCTGCATGCTGTCATTATAAGCAGGGGTGCACATACGTTTTTCAGCCTGGTTCTCATATGAGAACCTGGAGATTTGGTTTGGTCCTCACACTGCATATACTGTTACCCATTAAATATAACTATAAAAAAAATTTAATAAGACTGATAATAATATTGCACTTTATTTTTTATTTTTTTAAATAAACTAAATAATAAAGTGTGATAATACTGTTATATTTTAAAATTAAAAGGAAGTATTAAATACAAATACAATTACTTTATAGTAAACTTAAAATAAAATGTTCATATTTACTACTACTTTTTTTTTATTTTCATCATTTTCGAACTTTTAATCAGCAGGCTTTTATTTTGGCGGGTTGCTGGCAAAGTAAGTATATGCGCTTCCGGGTTTGTGCTTTAAAAAACGGCAGCGGATAGCCTAGATTTATGCTTTCAGTTTGAATAGAAATCTTATACAGTACAGTTTGACGATCTAAAATGGTGATTGTGCATTAACAGCTGTCAATCATGTCGGTACGCAAATGCGCTGTCAGAACTTATTTACACAGGGCATTTTTTATTTTGGTCGCGCATGCGGACCTGCGGACCACTTATGTGCA